ATATACAGGAAACTGGTTCATTAATGCCAAGTTTTAAGTTGAGATGGGCATTCTTGCAAATCACTAGAGTTTATTTTAGAACCATTTCTGACATTTCCTTTAAAATATATATATTTCCATAGCTGAATACTAGGCCACTTCACATTTCTTTTATCATCCTACTTTATCTTCTTCTCCCACCCCTACCCCTACCCCTACCCCCTTTAAAAGAATTATGGGGTTGCAATTTGTCTCTTTCAACTTCCATCCTTCATATTAGATAAAAACATTAAATTCCCTTTGGGGATTGAAGCAAATGTCCAATTTAGTGTCCCAGAGCCTAATCAATTGACAGCGAGTATTTGGATTCAGAACCAGGATCTGTGGCTATCTTAAGTAGACATCTTGACTCCCAAGCTTGTACCCAGGTCTGCCTTTACCTCTGGTCAGGCCTAGAAAAATGTGTGGTTTGAAACTAGTCCAACTGGTTCTTTTGACAGATACTAACCAAACCACATAATTTGCTTTTTAAAACTTACTTAGTGCTTCACTCTTGCCCAACAGGAATATGCATTTCTAGATATGAATGCATGCAAATGAGAACTAGCTTAATTGGCACATAAAGAAGCCCAGGGGAAGAAGCTATAATCTTAACACTAATCACCAAGAAAAAGTAGATTTGCCAAGTCCTGTACACATTTCTGGAAAAAACTCACATTTTAAACCAGACTATAACCTGTATTGAGGGGACTATCTAGTGATTAGTAGTCAATGGCGGCTGATTATATGTATTAATTATCTTCAAATCATTTTAAAGAAAGTCCAAACCTGCTTTAATTTGTTAACTCATTTGCAGCAGAGGCCTGTTTACTTAAGTCTGGTTTGTACCTTTGATTTAGATTATTTAGTTAACAGACACAAGACAGGTCAGGATCCCAGCAGAGGTAATTTATCAAGTCCAAAAACTAGGTTTTCTACTCAGATCATAAGCTGATTATAGAAACTGCTGAAACAAGATGCTTACACTGATAGTGTGATACTTACCAATGTTAACCATAAATATTTATTAGGTGTAAATAAATGTGCAGTTACTGTTATCACATATCTGTTTTAAACAATGATTCATATGTAGGTGATTAATTTAAACTGATATAAGCCTATCAGATTTGACTATTCCAAGTTCACAAAAAAGCAAAGGATGCTTGAAGTGAGGCATTTCTTACAGCAAAAGCCACTGTTATTTTTGATTCTCATTATAGGACATAGCAATTTTCCAAAAAAAATCACATGGCCTCCAAACAGATCAAAAGGCATTCTTTTAAAAAAGCAATTAGTTTTAATTTAAGCCCACTCTTATATGTTTACTCAAAAGACAAGTGAATTTTACTCCACTTAATGAAAGGCGTGTTGCCTTTGGCCATGGAGGCTCTGTTGTCACTGTGGTTAACCAAATTTTGGTGCATGGATTAGGTATCTTGACGTCATGGATTTGCTGCATTTTAGTGCACTTGTGCTTGAGTTATTCTCAGGATCTTTTATTTTTATCTGTCTGCATTTGGAGTTCGCCGCGTCCCTAACATCAATGAAATGTCACTTTTCTACAGGGATTGCACATTTGTCTACTCAGCAATAACTACTCCTGATTTTAATAGGACTTCACCCTCAAATAAATATTTATATAGGGTTGCAATCCACTAAAGAGAGGATGTAACTCAGTGTTTTAGCCATCTGGCTGTGGAGCCAAAGGTTCGGTTCGGCACTCTGCCTCCTTGCCAGGGGCTGAACTTGATCCATAGGCTCCCTACCAGCCCTGCAGTTCTAAATTGATGAACGGATGATGCTGATGCTTAGTAAGCATCCTAACATTTTTTCCGTGTATCATATAATACAACGTGGTATGTCATCTTTCCAGTAAGAATTCGAGCCTAAGGGCTTTTTGTCTTAAACAATCGGCCGTCTTTGCCATTCTTTAATTTGCTAAGAATTCAGCAGTTTATATTTCAGTGACACTGTCTCTTTAACGACGGGCGGAGGCAACCCTCGAGCGAGCACTCGGCTTCTTCTCCCCTTCACAAATATGGCTAACTTGTTCTTTCCGCTCTCTTATCCGCCCAACGCAAAGAGCGTCGGGACAAAAAGGTCACTCGCGCGCAACTACGTCGCCCGTTACCCAAGTCCTGTGACCTGCCGACCAATGAAGTGACAGATGGAACAACGGAGGGGAGGGGCCGTTCGCACTGATTGTGATTCGGAGACAGACGATCACGTGAAGGCAGGTTCTTTGTTGCTGGAGGTAATAGTTGAGCGAGTGGTACAGTATATAGATAATTCAGAAGGTGAGTGAGGAAAACTGTCAGAGGAAAGGATAATATTGACTAATTCTCTTGCCTTCTGCGCTGCCTAGCAAATTAAATACTTGTTGTTAATTACACTTGTGTTTCCTGAAGTGTGCAGACGCGGCCAGGTCCATTTGATTTAAATAAAATGTCACGATTTAAATTTTTTAAAAATCGGGTCTTTGACGATTTAAATAGAAAATTGATTTTTAAATGTAAATCAGTTGGATTTTGTTAAAAAAAATCATTGATTTTTCTCTAACCTGAAACGTGGACACTTTTCAACTCTGCTCCAGCTTAAGTTTCGCAGTGTCCTTTTGTATTTCTGGTTCCTAATCTCCTTCAGGCAATTGCAGTTTTTTTCTGATAACAGGACTTGTGAGGTTGTCTCTCTGTGGCTTATGTCTGAGATAGACAGATCCCAGGTTTACAGGATCTGCTTTCTACTTCTGTACACTGCTGGGGGCTGGGTGCAAGTAATGGCTCAGGCAGGCAAGACGTGTGCTAAGAATTAAGAAACAGCGTGCCTCTGAACAAGTGCAGAGTCCAGGCTTTCTGATTAGGACCAAGGTCACAATTCCATTCATAGGAAAAGCTAGTCCTGGTTTCCCTTGCGTATTCTTTTGTTCATAACCTAGTTGGGAAGGATCTTTCCCAGGATCTATTGCAAATTAGCCAGAGATTTGCCAGTCTACTACAGCTGAATCCTGACGGCATGGTAATTGGAAGGCTAGTCATGCTAAGGAGGTAACAACATGTGAGTTGTTGGATTCTGCCTTTATCTCATGCAACAAAAGCTTCTCTTAAAATTTTCACTGGCTCTTAACCTTTGTTACTCATGTGTTTTTGGACTGCAACTCCCAGAAGCCTTCACCATCAGCTGTGCTGGCTGGGGTTTCTGGGGTTTGCAGTTCAAAAACACCTGAGTAACAAAGGTTAAGAACCACTGTCTTAAATGAAGGAAACCTTGGGTGGGGTTGTTGCTTTGTAATTGCAAAGCAGGCAGCTATTCAGCAGGCAAGACTTTTCAAGCTTTCAGATTTAGAGAAAGCAAAAGTGAAAGTTTTGCAGTTCTCCAGTTAAATGACAAGCATTCTCAGAGAGATAGCCTTCTTAGTTTCCTGCAGCAAAAGCAGCAGGGATCTTGTGCAAAATATTACTACCAGAAAAAAGCTAAAATCCACTATCCTTATAGTATGTATGTAGAAGATTTATGGGAGTATCTGCCATGGCTTTGTTTGAAATGCTGACTGAAAAGCTTTAAACTTCCTATCTCTAAATCTGTCTTCTTTTTTTTTTAGGTGAGCTCATTTGTCTTAAAAATGTGGATGTGCCCTTCACCAGACAAAGAAGATACAATTTTTAAAATCCTACCTTGGCATATGTTTCAGAAGATCTCAAGCATACAATTTCTTTAGAAAGCAAGATACAGAAGCCTGTCTATGATTGTATAGTTCTAATGCACTCTGAAATGGAGTTCACTGACTGACAGCCAGCCCTTTGTCAGTAGAGATGAAGAGACACAATTGATTCTACTCCCCTGAGCTGAAATCGATACCATATATCTCAAGGTTGCTCTTTAAATTTTTAGTTTCCATTTTGAAATATTGTATAACTACAAATGCTGTAGCTTTAATAGTTTACCTGGTTCGACTTTTCTATTTCTTCTTCCATTTCACAGTCTGTAATGCCCAGCATGATGATGAGTCTTCAAGGACTCAAAAGCAATCCCTTTCAATTATATGTTATAAGTCAGTTAAACACACTGCTGGGCCCTGAGTTTGACTTTTAGCCATGGGACGCATGGCTGTGGGTTTTTTTCTTTTGATTTTGTTTTTCTTTTGCAGCACCATTAAGAAAAATATAAAGGAAGAACAAATGGAAATGTTGCTGATAGAGGAAAAATGCCATGCTTCCAGTTCTGCTATACTCCATTCACTTCTGTTCTGAAGCAATTCTAGTCTTTCCAGGAAGAAATAAAGATTGTGTTTGAGGAAGAGAAGGCAGCAAGATGAAAACTACCCTAAAAATCCCATTTGCAAATTTCATATTCTATCTTCCTCTTTGTTGATTCTTATTATTCTTGTATTGCTCTCTGTTCCCCCTTTACCATGTATCTATATCATGAGTGCATCACAGCCTTTAATATTACTTGCTTTTTCGGTCTCCTAGAAGTGAAACCACAAAAAAGTGTGTAAAAGAATTTTGTGTCTGTTACTTTTGTGTGATAGGTTTAGTCTAATTCCTTTAATATGAGTTTTCTCCATGAAACCATTGCACTGAAGAGAATGAGATGCACATTATGAGTAGATTTTTTAAAAATTGAATTTTATTGTTAGGCACCTTGAGTGCCATTTTTGACAGAAAGGTGGGTTTAAGTTCAATAAATAAATAGAGGTGGTGTATTACAGTATGATAGAAGTGCATTTGTCCACACAGTGAAATACACGGATGGCACTGAAGGAAGAAGATTCGAGGGCAGAGGAGGAGAAAATATGTGCTGAACAGATGCACAATCGGAATGACATTGATAGGGGCTCAGTGTGAATGTATCCTCTCTTCCACAGCATTGAAAACAGTTTGGGATACTTCTTCAGAACGATGCAGTTCTTTGGTCGGCTCATGACTACTTTCAACAATGTCACCAACTTATTTTCAAATCCTTTCCGGGTGAAGGAAGTACCCTTGTCAGAATATGAATCTCGGAAACGTGTGAAGTGGGAAGACAGGATAGTCCTGTTTGAAAACCGTCCATCTCATTCCTGGGACTGCCTTCTCATTAACCCTCAGAATCAAGCAACTGCCTTCCGGTGAGTGGTAGGGAGACTTTATTATTTATTAAATTTTAATCTTTGCCTGTGCTTGTTATTAGTCTCTGAGGAAGCAAATAAGTACTGTTTGGCCTATTTATAAAGTTGAAATGTTGAGTAGTGAGAGATGCAAAGCTGGTATCTATAATGAGAGAGAGAGAGAGAGAAGCCAGAAACTTCAGTAATTCATTTCATTCAACAAATGAGAGAACATAACTGTTTTCCCAAGAGGAATACCTTTGGAGGTGCAGAGGAATAAGGAGTGTTGGTGTCTTTCATTCCCAAGTAGAGTAGGACCCATCGTGTTTATATGGGAGGGACCTGCTCTGTACTCTGCTGCCTTGTTGCTTTCGTGTAGCATTGTCTGTTTGTAATACACTCAACAGAGAACTGCCCTTGCTGATTATTTGGAAACCTCAGCTAGCATAGGATGCTACTGTTTGGCTCCTCTGCAAAGTTGGGGGTGGAGTGGGTGCTAATTATTACCTTTTTCATCAGTTAACATCTGTTGTTTGAAATCCTGTTGCCAACTCTGCATGCCGCAATGGGGATAAAATCACCACTGGCAAATCACCGCTGATTAAAGGCAATGTCAGGATGCATGTGATTTGTACATGATGCAGTGAAGTCATTTGCATCTTGAAGTCTCCAAATGAAACATTTCATCAGCTGCAGTTTGCTGTGGCTGATGGTGCCATCTCTGTTGTGCACATGGAGCTGCACAATAGGGTTTCAGCTAATATTTTGCAGATCACCTTTCTTCCACAGGAGTCGTGATGTTGTTTAGGACAGACTCTGCTACCCAAATTGAACATGCATTTTTTAAAAATGAGGAGCATTACCTTCCTGTGCATTGGCCTTTCAGCTGCGAATTTTTATTTCCAATGAAGTTTGGAGCCATTCCTCTCTTCTGTCCTTCTGTTCCACTGAGAGTGAATTTCCTGGGTTTTAAACAAAACCTTTTACAGGAATTTTTTATTTTTTGCTGATTTCTTGATCAGCTTTAGATTCCTGTAAGATTTCATTGAGGTTTTAGTTGTGAGTCAGATTATTGGATTTTAAGCTGTGTGAAGCTTTGACGAAGTAGAATATAAATTTTAAACACCAATTTCCTTTGAAGCCTTTTCCAAATAGACAACGAAGGAGACGCAAATGAGCACTTTGACCTGTACGTAAAGTTGTTGCGCCCATTCTATGAGAGCTATCGCAACCCTTTGGCTCTGGAGACTTTGCAGCAGCTGACAGACTGTTTTAGAAGCCACCCCAGCTGGTCACTGGCTCACATAGCTGTAGAAGTTGGACTTCTGGAAAGTTTCCGACACAATCACATCCTGAGGTATGATGATGGGGCCCTTTGCTGGTGAGAGATGATTAGACATTGCCATCTAGATTAGGGCAGAGCAGACTTCAGGCTGTACCATTTATTTTGTTGTTTCATTAGAACCTGAAGATCTACCAGCTGGACTCTGAGGCAAAAGAGTTGTTGTGAGCCGAAAGCTGACACAAACTCTTCATGGTGAGGATGAATAGGTGTGTGTGTGTTAGACACGCCCTCACAAATATAATAAGGAAATTAAACCCTAATATCTTATATCCCTGTTCAGTATCTAGAAGGCCCTTGTTAGAGGATGACAAAATGTGGGGGAGGGGGCAAAGTAATATTCATCAGAGCTGGATTTGGCCCTTGAGCCACCAGACACGGCTCTTGATCTTGCACCTTGGCTTCTTTTCTCGCTTGCAGTCTGTCCAGACAGTCATGACATCATATCAATATTTTGTTCATCTTCTAGAGCAGCGGTCCCCAACCTTTTCGGGACCGTGGACTAGCTGAGGAAGGTACCCCCTGCACTTGTGCGCACGTGCAAAGGAGCGCTCTCTCTCTTTCTCTCTCTCTCACGGGCATGCGCTCTCTTGGGTGCATGCGCGAAGCAGAGGGAGAGTGTGGGGGAGCGCTCCCCATCCCTTCACGCATACGCCAGAGCATCTGCACACTTGCCCCCTTTGCGTGGGCACTCGGGCGCATACATGAAGGGGTGGGGAAGTGCTCACGCCAGCGCTACCATGCATTTGTGTGCGCAAAGCAGCTGTGGGGGGGAGTGCGTGCGAGGGGGAGGTCTGTCCTTGTGGCCCAACCTCTGTTCTAGAGCATTAAACAAGTGCTAAATAGGAACAGCAGCAGTAGAAGAAATCAAGTAAAGTCCCAAGCTTTTGCAGCAAATGTTTTGGGTAACACTGTGAAATTCTGACTAGTCTTGGGTTGAGCCTCAGTGTGTTCGCTGTGTTTCTCCATATTGTGTTGCAGCTGTGTAAACAGCAACAGCTCTGAAAATGAATGCACCCCACTTCACTTAGCTTGCCAGAAAGGGGATGTTGAATGTTTACGGGAGCTGATGAACGAGTGCCATGCCCGCCTGGATCTCACGGACAAAAACGGAGAGACCGTTTTTCACTACGCTGTCCGAGGGAACAATCCGAAAATTATAGAGGTGAGGCTTTGAGGAGGAGGAGGAGGAGGATTGCTATATCTATCAGGAGAGTAGAGTCATACAGAACCCGAGTGGGAGGAGAGTAGAGACTCTGGAGAAGCTGGAGACAGCGGGTTGCCCACAAGTTAGTTTAGAAAGCCTGGGGATGTCTTTGCATATCGGTTTGGAGCTAAGAAGCACACACTTGTAGCAGATTCCAAATCTTTTCCTTGCTGTATAATGTCTTTGTAAGAGAAAGAGATTTTGAAGGAAAGAGTATGAAAGGGAGGGATGGTTACCTTTCACCTGCCTGCTTGTGTCACTTAGGCTGTTTTCTACCCACATTTTCCTCATGTGTACTCCAGAAGTGGCCTGAAATGATCTGGAGTGGCCTTTCTCCCCACCCAGACACTAACACATTGGTTCAATTTTTAGGGCTTTGTTATATGTAACAGATACTTCAAATACATTTGCAGCTTTAAATGGATTTTCTGTCTATACCAAACAAAGGTGTCCTGCAGTATTTGCAGTCTTAGTAAGACCTTCAGTAATTTGCCCCAGGGTTAGGCACGTGTGACCCCTAAACCTCTCAAAGTTGCATACCTCTGGCTTAGATATATACCAGAATATAAAATGAGAACATAAAATAAAAAAAATATTGTACTGCATCATTAATTAACTGGATTTATAGATTGAATTCCCCCCATTTGTGGAGTGTACTAAAAGGATATCATTTACATGAAACCTTGAAGGGTTCAGTTTTAGGGAGTAAGGAATGTGGAATGTAGACATGTCATGTGCTCAGAATAGAAAGAGTCTATGTAATGAAGGATTTCATGAGAAAACCAGCACACAGTTGGAGTAATAGGTAAAGCTAAAATGCAGTATAGGAAGATTAAAAGCTATAATGTGTCCTGGAGTTTGAAGTATGTATTACCAAGTTTTTTGAAGAAATGTAGCATATTCAGTGTACTCCGTTATGAGTATGAATATAAAATGAGAACATAAAATAAAAAAAATATTGTACTGCATCATTAATTAACTGGATTTATAGATTGAATTCCCCCCATTTGTGGAGTGTACTAAAAGGATATCATTTACATGAAACCTTGAAGAAGGGTTCAGTTTTAGGGAGTAAGGAATGTGGAATGTAGACATGTCATGTGCTCAGAATGGAAAGAGTCTGTAACGATTAGGTCCCTGCTTTGCGAACCAATTGTTCGCAAGGCAACGATTAAAAACAGCTGATTGGCGGTTCACAAAATGGCTCCCCACTGTTTTCTGGACCTATTTCTGCAAGAAAGGGATCGCAAAATGTCCGCCCTGTGGAGGAACTTCGCTGCACGAGCAGGTATGTCCCCCATTGGCATGCATTAACCGGAATGCATTCCAATGGGGATTTTATTTTTGGACGACGACAGTTTCGCTGTACAGCAATTTTAATGGGGCGCATTATCGTCGTCATGCGGGGCACCACTGTATTATGAAAACTGTAAGTATTGCATGTTTGTTTGCATAGCTTTAGAAAACCACATATCTGTCATTCAGGACTAAACAAGTACTGTTACGTAGAAATGGTTTTGGATATGATTGATGCTGGAGATCGTTTGCTTGGATGGAACTTACATGGGAAACAGTATTTGAGACTGGTTTTATTGTGAGAAGAGTGAGGCTTGGTATTCCTAGGGAGCTCCCTGCCATGCATCATTCATAGCCTCCAGACACGTGTGACATGGTTCAATTGTTTCAGCTCCTGGGCAGGAAGTCAACCTCTGCTTTGGATCACCTGAATGATGAAGGGCAGAGCCCTTTGCACCTGGCCTGCCAGCTGGGCAAAGAAGACGCAGTTATTTCTCTTCTGAAGGTTAATGCCAAGTGCCATAATTTGGGAGCATTCGGTTATCCCATCCACATTGCTATGAAATACTCCCAAAAAAGGTAAGTTCATTTGGATAAGAGCACATTTGTATTGATATGTGTGCTGCCTGGGTAATTTCTCTTCCCTGTCGGAGGCTTTGCAAGGCCTGAGCATGGCTTGCAAGTGTTGTTTTTGGATTGTTGTCCCCAGAATCCACTAGACATCACAGCCAGTTGCTGTATTGGTTGGAGTAATTCTTCCAAGCTCTGAGTCTGGACAAAAATTGCTGCTGTGCAACAACGCAAGTAGCATGGTTGACCTGTTTGGTATTATAAGGCTAAGGAGGAGAAGTCAGCTAGGCAGCCATGAGAACTTAGAAGGTTATTTCTACACTGGCAGCCGTGGGATCCCCTCCATCTCCTTTTATAAAACCTTTAGCGTATCAAAATAACTTCTCTTTCCTGTTGTATCTCCACTGTGTCTTCTCATCCTGCCCCCGGCAGGCCATCTGTAGGAGCAGATTCTGTTTTGTCACCTTTTGCAGTATAATTGCTTCTCGTGGAGAACGCTCTCACAAACAAGTTGAGAACAGATGTGTTAGGGGGTACAGCAATTCATAAACTGAAGTATGCTAGAGAAATGGTTAGCCCAACGTACACTGAATGTTTCTTTGTAAAATGGATGCTTTTGAATTTTTTACTGACGGCATGATGCTCATATGTTGTGAAGGAAACTAATGAATGCCTATTTTGTCCTCAGCCCCCACAAAGCCACAGAGAAAAACAAAGTTCTGTAACCTGCGTACATTAAACAGATCTGGCAATATTCTCATATTTTTGTTTTTGTTAGTGAATGGAAGACAGGTATTACATCTTCATTGCTATTATCTTATAGGGCAGTATCCTGTTATCCTGCTCACTGAGCTCTTGTTCCCATCAGTCATATATCTGAGATGTCATCAGGTGTTTCTTACCCTGATGGTGAAACTTATCTTTATGTGTTGTGGTTTACATGTGAACTGAGTCTAAAACCAATATTGGCTGACGTCCTTTTGTTTAATATAGTAAGTTGTGACTAGGGTAAGCCTATTGAATCAATGGAACTTATAAGGGAGATAAACCACCAGATGTCCATGGATTCAGTGGGCCTATTCTGGTTGTGACATACTGTGTTAAGCAACAGGATTTCAGCCATAGATATTCCAAAACACTGAATAAAACAAATACTGTAGAAAGACACATTCCTGTTCCTTGATTTCATTTGAAAAAGAAATCAAGATCGCCAACTCTCCACAATACATGTGTGTCCCTATGTACAATATATAGTACAAATAACTAATCAGGTAACATTACCTCATCCTAGGTGATCTTACATGATCACATCAGCCTTCTGCCTAGTCAGCATGACTCAGCTTTATACACAACTGTACAGTATAGCTGATTAACAACTTCCTTTACACATTGAGTTTAAGATGTCAGTTTCTTCTATTACAAACCGTAATTTCCTGACAAAATATAGTTGCCTTAAAATATAGTTACCCCAGTAACTTCCTGGTGTCTAGGGGCCATTTTTGTAGGCCCAGGCTCTTTGTGACCTACACCCGTCCTTCCAAATCAAGCCAGAAGTGATCACAACACCGTCTCTGCTTTTGTTCTTCTATTTTTTGTAGGCCCAGGCTCTTTGTGACCTACACCCGTCCTTCCAAATCAAGCCAGAAGTGATCACAACACTGTCTCTGCTTTTGTTCTTCTATTTTTTAAAAGTATCATTCTCATTTAAGACTTTCTGCTAAAAGGAGGTGAGGGCGCACCTTGTTTTAGAGCAGGGGTCTCCAAACGTTTTACCCTGAGGGCCACACTGGATACTTTCAAGATCTTAGAGGGCCGAAGGAACAGGAATGTGCCCGTGCGCATACACCCCTACCCCACGCCCTCACGGACTCACATGCGCAGATGCATGCAAGCCCACCCACAGAGGCATGCACTCACCGCCTTATGCTTGCACACACACTACTGATGCATGGACACACAGACAACCCCCTGCCTGCACCCACATGTGGGGTTAAGGGAATGGGCCAGATAAAATGGCAAGGTGGGCTGGATGTGGCCCGCGGGTATGAGGGCCACACTGGATACTTTCAAGATCTTAGAGGGCCGAAGGAACAGGAATGTGCCCGTGCGCATACACCCCTACCCCACGCCCTCACGGACTCACATGCGCAGATGCATGCAAGCCCACCCACAGAGGCATGCACTCACCGCCTTATGCTTGCACACACACTACTGATGCATGGACACACAGACAACCCCCTGCCTGCACCCACATGTGGAATGGGCCAGATAAAATGACAAGGTGGGCTGGATGTGGCCCGTGGGTAATAGTCTGGAGACCCCTGTTTTAGAGGATAATTGCTCCCCCTGAGAAGTGCAGGTTTACTGGTTTGTTTGGGAAGATAGTTCCTCTCAAATTTTTATTTATATTTTTTGGTTGAGGGGAGAATATTATTCTTGGGGCAATTGGGATCTGTGAGCTGCAGACCCCCATTATTTTCATATCTGCCATTAAAAAATTGTACAGCTTTTCTGTTTAAAGAGGGGAAGGATGTGCACATACATCTTATATGTAGCTTCTTCTTCCCTGCATGTTCACCTAGCAAGCAACATTTATGGAAAGTGTAGCTCCCACCCCATGAGCTGGGAGCAGACTGTTTTAGTGATGGGGAACTTGGGGGGGGGGATCAGCAGAAGTGGTAGGGCTGCAAAGTGTGTAGGACAAGCAAAGCAGGTCCAAAGATAAGGTGACAGTCCAAGAAGAAAGAGAGACCTGGTACAATAGGATAGGAACCAATACAGTCAAACAAATGCAATAAAACAACTAAATCAGATAATTAAAAAAATAAACTGTTACTGAGTTACCTGATTGCATTGTGACTCAGCCTTCACTCTGATCTCTTTTGTTTCTGACCTTGCCATCTACAATCCCATCACCAATTATATATACACCTGAAATTCTGGACAACAGTTTATGCATCTGATGAAGTGGGTTGTTAAAAGTCTTGAACATTCATGCTGTTATAAATGCACAAACCTTTAAGGTTGTTTTGCTGATTAACTTTCGATGCCACTTCATGCATCTAATGTGTGGCTACTCTTTTTGTAAGTCACTTTGATACTTTTGTGGCCACAGGCACCATCCTTCTCCCCGTTAACATAGAGGCACACCTGCAGACTGGTTACTGGAGTACTGAAATTATTGTTACTGAACCTGTAAAGAATCATACAACTAGCTGGAAATGTTTGTCACACTTTTCCTTGCTTTTCTGTTTATTCTTTTTCCTTTTAGATGTGCAGAGGCCCTTCTTGATAAGGAAATCAACCAGATTCATTTGGTGGATCCACGATATGGTGCCACACCACTCCATTGGTCCAGAAATGCTGAGGTAACCAAATCAGATATCACTAGGATGAGGAAAAGAACCTCAATTCAGTAATGAATTGCACTATTGATACCAAATTAGTTAGAAAAAGATGACTAGTTTTTCCCTTCTTTGTCGTTACTTTCTCCACACTAAGGGCAATGTGTCCGAAGAGGAGAAATTCCTGCTCATTTGTAGGCTGTACAAATAAGAAGTTTTAATTCTTGTTTAGTATAAAGCAGCTTTACATGAGCTTGGTTAGCATGCTCATGTTAAAGTTATTTAGTATAAAGCACATTGTTTTCATGTGTGGAAAAAGTGGCAATGGACAAAAGTACTACGGGAGCAGCTGTTTGCTTTTCTCAATGACCAGTGTAATTTATTTGAACTTTTAACGTGTTTTTAAGCAGTTGGCTAATTCTTCTTGATCATTGCTTATTCTGAGGAATTTTACGTTGATGTAGTCAAAACGTCATGGATGTTTTGACTGCACCGTGGTGCGGCTAACACATGGGGCCATGCCAAACAGAAACACACAAACACAATATTAAGGGTCAAAACGTCATGGATGTTTTGACTGCACCTTGGTGCTGCTAAAACATGGGACCATGCCAAACATAAACACACAAACACAATATTAAGCGTGTTGTTAATGTTGTGTTGCATGTTTGTATATTATTGATTTTATTGGAATGCACTCTGGTGCAGAGTGCAAAATAAATAAATAATATGCACTCTGGTGTAGAGTGCAAAATAAATAATAATATCAGTATTATATTGACAGCAATTCATCTGAAGTGTCTAAGTGTCTCAGGCAAATAATCAGCTTCATGCCAACAGACACAGCCTCATGTTTACTCAAACTCAAATGGGTAGTTGAAATTTAATCTATTTGTTGCTTTAAACTTAAGTGTGAAATAGGTTGATTTAATATAAAATGCAGATCAAACAAAATTAATCAGCATCTTGAGTCTCAGTTACTTTAGAAAACATGTATGTGTAGCGACATGCACTTTTATTTATTTATTTTTGATATGTCATTGTTTGTTTTTAGTGATATGTTTCTGAATGCAGAGAGAAAGTGATGATGCTTATGGTGTGTTATGTATGTACCATGGGAATTAACACTAGCCAGTGCAGTTGATTCTATATCTAGTTTCCTCTGGGTCTCTCACAGGTTCTGCAGCTTGTACCCCTATCCACACTGACAGTTCAGCTGACTATGGGGGCAAGGTTTCTGATACTTGTGTTTGCAGCAGGAAAACACCAAAAATAAGAATGTTTGGGTCTTTCCAAGAAATGTCCAAAATAGTGTTGTAGTCAGTGTTGATTTATTGATTTTTGAGGATTTATCAGCCCTGCCATTGGTTTTCGGAACCAGGAATTAGAATTAAGGAAACAGTTACTCTGTATCAAACAGTGACTCATACATTTGCTGTTTGTCAGATGTAAGCCTTTTCTGCTTTTAAGTAAACTGAGTTTGTGGCTTTGAGAGTAATGGATGAAGGTTGATTTGAAAAAACAATATTTGAGACAGTACATCAAGTTTTACCATTGATGATTAAACAAGTTGAAGTCAGAACCTGAGCTTTTCATTTCTTTACTTTTGGGAGAGTGAGTGACATTTTAAGAGCCCCAGTTCTTCTCTTCACTCTTATATGTATCCTTAAAAAATACCCACATGTTTTGCCCACTGTAACTTGGCTCCCCCTGCAGTTGATCTCATCTGTCCTGCCCCAACCAGAAGACACACCTTGGGAACAAAGATATGACAGTTCATATGGTCTCAACCCACCTTATTTCCTTTTCTCCCGCGGATCTAGATGACCCGGCTACTTATTGAGTATGGCTGTGAAGTGGATGCCCTTAGTGTCACAGGAGAGTCAGCTTTGCACATTGCTGTGCGTCGTGGACGTTTTGACTGCACTATGGTGTTGCTGACACATGGGGCCATGCCAAACATCAAGGGGAAAGATGGGAACACTCCACTCCATCTGGCCATGAAGGTGGGCTTCTCATTAGGTTGATGCTTTTCAAGATTGAGGGGAAAGTGAAAGTGAGAAGGGTATTTTCTTCATAATATATATAGGCTAAAATCCTGTTGCTTAGCTTAGTAAATTGCATTAGAGTACTCCCAGTGAATCCATGAGGATTTGGTATAACGTCCTTTGATTCAAATAGTCTATTCCAGCTGCAGCTTATTTTAGCATAGTAAGTTGCAGTTAGAATGGGCACATTTGAATCAATGGAGTTTGAGTGGGATCACTAAATCCCCATTGATTTAACGAACCTACTCTAGTGGTATTTTACTGTGTTCAACAACAGGATTTTGGTCATAGAGACTTTAGAACTGGAATGAGCAGAAAATAGTTCTAGATCTGTTGGTTGATTTTTTAATTATTTGCAGTAGAATAATCACACAATGTTGAATTTTTTTTTTGTTCAGCAATAACAATAATAATAAAAGAGTGCCTCATAGATGGGAGGGTAATCAGAAGTAGATTTTTGTGTGAAAAGACTGTGCATTTCTTAAACCCAAGGGATTATTGGGTTTAAGCCTCTCCAGTATCTCTTGCACCAGACTCTGAGCCTATGATAAGAGTAGCCATTCCAGATGTTGGACTGTACCTCCTACCAGCCTTAACCAGAACGGCCAACGGCAAGGACTGATGGGAGCTGTGCTTCATCAGTGTCTGGAGCGCCAGTCACTCCCTGTAGCTCCTCCGCAGTAATATTTTTGTAGATGGTTAATGTTTGCACTTTCGGTACTTCACGTGAAAGTTAACCACCTATCCTAAACATGCTTCACAATTTGTTTGCTCTTTCAACCAGCCCAGCTGAGCGTAAGACTTACTGCACCTAAAGCAGCTTACAAAAACCCAGCTCTGTGGACACCATTTTAGATATTGACAGCTCAGAGTTTGGCTGGGAGAGGATGGGTGTGTGTGTTTTCCACTGCAAGTAAGCTATGGATTGAGAGATCTCTGACAATGTATTGTCCTTGACTACACCTTTTCCTCCCAATAGCAAGACCACCTAGAAATGATCAAGGCCCTTATTGTGTTTGGAGCGGATGTGGATGTCCACAATGACTTAGGGGAGACGCCAGGGTTGGTGGCAGCCAGGACGAGTAAAGGTGAGAAGGACGTTAGGATAGGAGAGGGGGAGAAGTACGGGAACAGGGTGGACAAGTGGGAAGCGGGCCCCGGCATGTTTATTTGCACTCTGTTGACAATACAGAGAGGATCCACTTTTATATCATCTGTGCAGCCTTTTGGATGTGACGGCTCATGACAGCAGCAAATTTTATCCCAGCCAGCCATGTTAAGTTTTCTAGGCTCTGATGAAGGGCTGCTAAAAAATGAAGACTTAGAGAAATGGACAAAACACCAGCTGTGAGATAGGGCTGGCCTCTGTTGTTCCATGGAAGCCAAGTATCTCTGTTGTTGTATGTCATCAAGTCGGAACCAACTTATAGCAACCCTATAAGGTTGTCATAGTAAGTGAGATATTTACGGTGTGGTTTTATCAGTTCCACACCCCAGTGAGTTTGCATGGCTGAGCAGGGGTTTGAACCCAGCCCTCCTGAATCTTAGTTCATCACTCTGTCCACTACACCAGTGGTCCCCAACCTTGGGCCTCCAGATGTTCTTGGACTACAATTCCCAGAAGCCTTCACCACCACCTCTGCTGGCCAGGATTTCTGGGAGTTGAAGTCCAAGAACATCTGGAGGCCCAAGGTTGGGGACCACTGCACTACACCACCTTGGGCATGCAAATATCCCTTGCCCTTAATTTGCCCAATACAAACTCCTGCTGGGTACCTGGGATTGCCTGGGCTCAGGGCTCACAGAGGTCACCATCTGCTTTATTTTCATGGTTTTCCCCCTCTAATATATGTGACTCCCTCACTGTTTAAAGGTGCCAACCGGAAAGTTCTCTTAGATATGGTGAAAAGTATAGGGGCTGACCGCTTCCATCCACCTAGTCCAGCAACATCATCACTACTGCCACCTACTTCCAACATTCCAGAAAGACCACGGAGCACTAGCCAAAACCTAGGTAACAGACTACCTAGCCCTGTGCTTCTCCCATTCCCTTTCACTCTCTTTGACCCACTTTCTATACTGCAGTTTCCAACATGGGAGGGGATTTACATGGAAAAATTAACATTATCATCCCATCTAAGGATTGCTTACTAGAGTTTTCCATGCTTTGTAAATGTGCTTAGGAAGTCACAATCAATTGCTAGCAGAATAAAATTTGCCACCTAGTACTATTAGAAAATGTCCTTTCTTCATTCTTTTCTCTTCCTCTTTTGTTCCTGTATCCTGATAATGTGGCTTTCTGGGTAAGCATCTGGGAACAGCAGAGAAGCTTGCCCTATCCAGTTGAATGTAAAGCTTTTATGCCTGCAAGAAGGGTATTTAGCAAGTGGAGAATGGAGAATGTTTCTCTGCCTTAAAGGTAGTGCCATAAAAAAGTGTGTCTGCTACGTTGCTTCTTTCTATACAAGAAAAGCACAAGAGTGTTGTCCTTTGTTGAATCTGAGCACCTAAGTAGCAGAGGGCAAAGTCCTGAGGCTCTCACTTTCTTGAGCTGTCGTGTTCATTTTGGTAAAAAAAAATTAATTAAAAAAAAACCCAACCCCTCCCAACAAACAGAATCAAAAACAAAAACTTAGTTTTTCTGATGGTTTCTCTAGAGTTCCAAGACATCATTCATGTCTCCACAACATTTAGTAGCTTCCTGAGAAGGCCAGATATGGTGGACGCTGTCCCTGAGAGGACCAGAAAGTAAGTAGCCACTGAAGAGCTTGGAAAATTAAGAGTTTGGACTGCATATCCCAGAAGACTGCAGCTAGCATAGCCTCTGACGCTATTTGCTGAAGAATTTTGGCCATTGTAGTTTTGTTTCTGTTACTTTTGAGCACATTACTGAGCTACAGAGTTCCCTTCTGGAGAAAATTGGTGTTTGCAAAGCTTATCCTTATATCTTATTGCGATCTTGGAAGCTGCAGTCCAAAGGGGATGGGGAGAAACCTCAGCGTACCTTTTTCCCTTCTTCCGTGGGTATCAAGCATATTTGGTACGATTACTCCCATTTAGGGCTTCCAGTGTGTTTCCATTTTTATGTATCTCTGTGAGGCATTAGAATCTGGAAGGGGATAGAACCACTTGAGCAGCTGACTTGCAAGCATTAACCAACTTTCCTTCTTTTTCTCTCTCCTTCTGTAGCTATGACCGTCTCTTGACTCTGGATGGCGGAGGTGTCCGGGGTGTGGTTCTGATCCAGTTCCTCATTGCTATAGAGAAAGCTGCAGGGCGACCCATCAGGGAGCTGTTTGACTGGGTTGCTGGAACTAGCACAGGGGGAATACTGGCCCTCTCTGTTGTCCATGGTAAGGAGAGATGGGAGCAGCGACGGCCCAAGTGTGGAAGGGCTAATCTTGTGGCAGGATTGGCCACTTGAGGTAGAAGGAAAGGAGGAGAGGTGGAACACTTTGATTTATGCTTGGCTTTCTAAAAGCAGACGAGGAGGGCAAGTGGGACCTTTCAGGTGTTGTCAGGTCTCACCTGCCCTCATTCTTCCCCATTACAAGTGGGACCTTTCAGGTGTTGTCAGGTCTCAACTGCCCTCATTCTTCCCCATTACAATGTCCCCAACCTTGGGTAGCCCAAATGTTCTTGGACTGCAATTCCCAGAAGCTAGCTGTCCTGGCTGGGGCTTCTGGGAGTTGCAGTCAAAAACCACTTGGGTTACCTAAGGATGGGAACCATTGCAGTGTTAGGCAAGGCTATTGAGAGTTGCAGTTCAAAACCATTTGGAAGGCAACATGTATCTCATCCCTCCTATACTAACTTAAGAAGGAAAGTCTTTTATTTAAGAAATAACTGTGAAAGTCAGGAAGTAATTGTCCATCAGGAATGGTTGGAGGTGGGTCCCAGAGTTCTTGTCAAATGGCCATTTGGCTTGGCCATGGTTGTATTCTGGTTGAGTATGATTTGCAGTACTTGGAGTACTGTAGAATTTGCAAATAGGTGGGGCATGGAAGTGGTAATTCTGTCTAAAATTATAGGTCCATTTTTCCCAACAGTGGGTGATTTCCAGAAGTGTAGAGACCATGCATGCATAGATGTTGGAGGGCTGCCCTTGAACCCTGACCATTTTTTTAAAAAAATCAGGCCCAAACCTCTGTTTTAAGTAAACAAAAAGCTTTTCCAGTTTAGAAAAAAGACCCCAGCTTAGGAGGCTTCCAAAATGTGGTCTCCCCCCATGCCCTCTGGAAAGCACAAGGAGTCTTTTTCTTTTTCTTTTTTTTTACAAAATTTATTATTATAAAAGAAAAATACAAATATACATACAAATATAGAGAAGATACAAAGAAAAGAAAGAAAAAAGAATACAAATTTTTAAAACACAAAATACACAATGCAATAAACATCTGGTGTACCCCTCCTCCCCAGGATATAATCAATGTTTTTACTTCATACATTATGCCCCATTTTCTCCAAAAATAAAGCAAATCTTGATCTGGAGTATTTCCTTTGCCTTTTTCAAACACATGTTCTAAAATATATATTCCATATATCTTTAAAATAATTTACTTTCAATATTCCTTACCTGACTTTTAATTCACATGTTAATTTATCATTAATAGCAATCTTCCACATTTTCTTATACCATTCCTCCATGGTTAAATGGATTGTTACTCTTCCAATTTCTTGCAAATATCAATCTTGTTCCCATTACCATAATAGTAATTATTAACCTTCCTCCCCCCCCCCCAAAATCTATATTTGTGTTTCTAAACATATTTAGCAAGACAATCCTTGGACGCATTTGTATATTTAAACCTATAATGTCATTAATTATCATTCATCTCATGATTCATTAGTTTCATTAATCTCTTTAAATACCACTGCCCAAACTTTCTGCATCTTTTCACACATCCACCACTTATGAAAATAAGTACCAGTTCCTTTCTTACATCTCCAGCATATAAGATAATGCTTCCTTATTCATTAAATGGTTAAAAACCATCACCATATTACTTGATAACAGTTTTCCTAAAGTTTTAGGAGAACCCTTTTTGGTTAAAAAAAAAAAGTTTAATGCTGGGGAGAACACACTTTGGCCCAGGGGACCCACGTATGGCCTCTGGGGGTGCACTTTGCCCTCCTTTTTATTCTTTTTTCTGACTAATAGAAGTTCTTATTGATGGGCAGGGGTCATTTTTACCACAAACACATAATTTTTAGCAAGATATAAGGGGAACCTTGGAGCCTTCCCTGGTACTGGGCTGTATGACCACCTCTCGTGTTTCCACGCTCAAGCCTTCATTGACCCACTTTTGCATCTGGTACAGACTGTTTGTATACACACACTCCCTCATAGTTTTAAGCCATCTCTTTCCCTTTACATCCTTTCAGAGAAAATGGATTCCTCTCCTTCAGTCACCCTTTTGGCTGCCTCACATGTTGGGCAGAACGTGTGCTTCCACTGACCGCCCGCTGCCTCACGGAATATTAGCTGTTTTTCTTTGAATACTTCAGTGTTCATCAAGCATTACAAGAGATGTGAAAAACGATAAAAGTATCTTCCCAGAGGTTTCCAGCTAGGCACTGTTAACACCCTTCTATGTCTTAGGGAAGCCGATGGACCATATGCGCTGCTTGTACTTCCGCATGAAAGATGAAGTATTTCGTGGTTCACGACCGTACGAGTCAGAGCCCCTCGAGGAATTTTTGAAGAAGGAGTTTGGAGAAAACACTAGAATGACAGATTTTAAGAACCCCAAGTAAGGCAAATCTAGGGGTGTGCCAGCAGTTCTTATGAGTATTGAATCCTGTTGTTGTTTTTTAAAAATCCCTTCATTTTTAATGTTCTTCATGGTAAAATAAAAATATGGAAAACTCATGATCATATACATGTAGGCATCCTTCAGTCTCGAGAGACATATAGCCCATACTTGTTAACAGTGACTGGCAGTAGCTGCACCTGGTTTCAAGTAGCAGTTTCTCTAGACCTACCTGGAGATGCTGGGGATTCAGTCTGGGACCTTTTGCATGCTAATCATATGTTCTACTGTGAAGTATGGCCACTCCCAAAGTTAATTCCCAGGCTTAGATTACTTTTTTCTGCTATGAGCAAAATCGGGCACTCAGGAGAGGTGATGGACGTGAACACACCTCCGGGGAATGTGCAAGAGGATACAAGAGAGTTCTTACTAAAGCTTAGCCAGATTGTGGGGTCTGTCTAGCCCAGTATTTTCCACTCTTGACAATGAGGCCAAATAAAGTAAAGATCTTTACCCAGAGGTTACTCTTGGATCTCTTTATTTGAATTTTCCCAGAGTCAGTATAGTGTGATGGTTTGCATTTTGGACTGGCATTTGAAACAGCCCGGTTTGTGTCGCTGTTCAGCCATGGAATTCACTAGGCATAAATGGGCCAGTCATCCTCTTTCACTTGACCTAGGTGACAGGGCTGTTCTGAGGCTAAAAGGGAAGAGAGAGCTATTTATGCCATTTGGAGTTCATTGGTGAAAAAGCATAATATAATTGTAACAAATGAAGTACAAAAAAACGAGGTGTTACAGGCTGAATGTAAAACATGTGCATTAACACTGGGCTGTGACCACTCCACTAAAATAAAATTGTCTTGTCTATCTGGATCTCATTCAGGCTTATGTTGACAGCAACTTTGTGTGACCGACAGCCTGCTGAGCTCCACCTGTTCCGGAATTATAATCCTCCAGACAGGAGAAGCAAGTCCCGTTCCAAGACAAGTAGCATGTTTCAACCAATGACTAAGCCAGAAGGTAAGCACCCAACACAAGAATCCACAAACCTAAGGGGAGTGTATTGTTGTACTAAGCACATCACATTATGATCAGGTAGAAATATATTTTGTTTAAAATATTTTAAAATCATCTTTCTCTTTAGAAGGGACCCAAAGTGGCTTGCAACAATAAATGGTGGTAAGTGAATCTGTGCCACACCTTATATACCACCATATCACCTTGAACACACCTAGTCGTGTCTGATTTTGGAAACTAAGCAGTGTTTATTCTGTATTCTCAAAGGCTTTCATGGCTGGGATCCAATAGTGGTTGTAGGTTTTTTGGGCTGTTTGGCCATGTTCTTTTGAAATTTTTTGAAAAAACAACAACCTACAAACAGAATTCAGGCCCACCACAAAAATAAACAAATGTTACGGTCAGCAAAGGACAAAAGATACCCCCTCACCTTGCAGTTGTGGCCAGGTACAGTATATCACAGAAGTGAGTACACCCCCTCACATTTCATAAATGTTTTAGTATATCTTTTCATGTGACAATCCTGAAGAAATGACACTTGGCTACAATGTAAACAGTGAGTATATAGCTTGTATAACTGTGTAAATGTGCTGTTCCCTCAAAATAACGCAACACACAGCCATTAATTCTAAACCACTGGCAGCAAAAGTGAGTACACCCCTAAGTGACAATGTCCAAATTGGGCACAAAGTGCCAATATTTTGTGTGGCCACCATTATTTTCCAG